TGTCCCCCTCTTACAATGCTGTGATTGCTAGTATCACTCAGCCCTCTGTGAGTAGTAAACAGCCATCAGTGTGCTAATGATCCATTGTTAGGCTGATGGTCCTTCTTGAGCATGTGATCAGCTGGTTTTGGTTGTCAGCAGCAAACTGGTTGATCCACTCTGAGAAGGTGCTATTTAAGAGAATGAGCTGAAAACAGCTCCTCAGACTGAGGAAGTCTCTTGGATGAGAGACGAAACGTTTCTAGATTTTTTTTGCTTTGTTTTGCTTTTTTTTTTTTGAATGTCCAGAGGACCAGATTGAACTTTTTTGGATCGTCCTCCAGTAGTCTAAGCTTAAAGCAGCATAACAAGCCAACCCTAATTATAGAATTTTTTTTAAAAAGGAAAGTCTTAAGCCCAGTCTTAAAACTGGACAATGTGTCAGCCTCATGGACTGGAAGTTGGTTCCACAAGAGAGGAGCCTGATAACTGAAAGATCTGCCTCCCATTCTGCTTTTGGAAACTCTAGGGGCCACGTGAGTAAGCCTGCAGTCTGAGAGCGAAGTGCTCTCAGGAAAACTATAAGATGTCAAATAGAAGATGGAGCCAGGTTGTTGAGAGCTTTGTAGGTTAGAAGTAAGATTTTGAATTCAATTCTGGATTTGACAGGGAGCCATTGGAGAGAAGCTAAAACTGGAGAGATATGATCTCTCCCACTAACTCCAGTTAAGACTCTGGCAGCAGCATTTTGGATCAACTGAAGACGTTTTAAAGAAGTATTTGGACACCCAGATAATAAACCATTGCAATAGTCCAGTCTAGACATGACAAATGCATGGACCAGTTTTTCTGCATCATTTTTAGATGTTTCTAATTTTAGTGATATTACGCAGGTGGAAGAAGGAGGTTCTAGTAACGTTTTTAATGTGGGGGATAAAAGACATGTCCTGATCAAAAATAACATCAAGATTTTTAACAGTAGAGCTGGAGGACAGATTAATGCATCTAAGGAGGGAGAAAGACTGAAAAATTCATTCCTAAGGTGCTCAGGTCCAAAAACCAAAAACCTCAGTCTTGTCTGTGTTCAACTGGAGAAAATTTAGGGTCATCCAGGTTTTTATGTCTTTAAGACATGCTTGTAGTCTAAGTAGCTGATTGGATTCATTGGGTTTAATGGACAAATATAACTGTGTGTCATCAGAATAACAATTAAAATTTATTCCATGCTGTTTAATAACTTTACCTAATGGAAGTATATACAAGGTAAAAAGAGTACTGGTCCAAGCTCTGAACCCTGAGGAACTCCATGACTAACTTTGGTGTATGATGAAATTAATTATTTACATTTACAAACTGGAATCTATCAGATAGATATGATTTAAACCAATTTACAGCCGTTCCTGTAATCCCAACATCATAGTCAAGCCTCTGTAGTAAAATATTGTGATCAACTGTATCAAATGCAGCACTGAGGTCTAACAGGACCAGTATAGACACAAGTCCATTGTCGGAGGCATGCGTTGCATTTATGATTCAGTGCAATAAAACAAAAACAAATGTAAAAGGTAACAGATCATTGTAATACTTGGTTTATTTACATAATGACTTTAATAGTTGGATGTCCGTGACCCGAGCTGCTAGCTTTCAGAAACTGTGGCCCCCTGAGCAGTTGTGTTGAGTAGCACTGGTCTACAGCTTCTGTAAACTTCTGATCCTGGTGTGTTTTTCTCTTCAGACGGATCAGTGCTCAGGTCTACAGGGGTTCCTCGTCTTCCACAGCTTTGGTGGAGGCACCGGCTCTGGCTTCACCTCTCTCCTCATGGAGCGTCTCTCGCTAGACTTCGGCAAGAAATCCAAGCTGGAGTTTGCGGTGTACCCAGCTCCCCAGGTGTCCACTGCAGTGGTGGAGCCCTACAACGCTGTCCTGACCACCCACACCACCCTGGAGCACTCCGACTGCGCCTTCATGGTGGATAACGAGGCCATCTACGACATCTGTCGCCGCAACATGAACATCGAGACTCCAGGTTACATCAACCTCAACAGACTGATTGGTCAGATCGTTTCCTCCATCACTGCCTCGCTTCGTTTTGATGGCTCCCTCAACGTTGACCTGATGGAGTTCCAAACCAACCTGGTCCCGTTCCCTCGTATCCACTTCCCTCTCGTGACCTACTCACCCATTATCTCTGCTGAGAAGGCCTACCACGAGCAGCTGACCGTGTCTGAGATCACCAGCGCTTGCTTCGAACCGACCAATCAGATGGTTAAGTGTGATCCTCGTCACGGCAAGTACATGGCGTGCTGCATGCTGTACCGAGGTGATGTTCTGCCGAAAGATGTCAACGTTGCCATAGCGAGTATAAAGACCCGACGCTCCATCCAGTTTGTTGACTGGTGCCCCACTGGTTTCAAGGTAAAGACATGGTTAAAGAAGTACAACTTGCGGTAGTTTATATCTCTCTGATGATTATGTTTACCCGTCAGGTCGGCATTAATTACCAACCTCCAACTGCAGTCCCTGGTGGAGACCTGGCCAAAGTCCAGAGAGCTGTGTGTATGCTGAGCAACACCACTGCCATCGCAGAGGCCTGGTCACGTCTTGACCACAAGTTCGATCTGATGTATGCCAAGCGAGCGTTCGTCCACTGGTATGTGGGCGAAGGCATGGAGGAAGGGGAGTTCACAGAGGCCAGGGAGGACCTGGCCTGTCTGGAAAAGGATTATGAGGAGTTGGGCCGAATGAGCTCCGACTCTGAATGTGATGATGAAGAAGTGTGAGTCTTACAGAGCCCACCAAGGGTCATGGGTAGAAACAGGAATTATGATATATGGGTGTGAATCTGTTCCCTCGGTTTAATTTGGCAGCGTGACGGCTCGGTGGTTAGCACTGTTGTGTTGCCTCACAGCAAGAAGGTCCTGGGTTCAATCCCCGGTTGGACCTGGGGTCTTTCTGTGTGGAGTTTGCATGTTCTTCTCGTGCTTGCGTGGGATTTCTCCGGGTACTCCGGTTTCCTCCCACAGACCAAAAACATACATGTTAGTCTGCCTTCAGGCCCAGGCCTCCCTTGCAAAAGAGATCTGTGATCTCAATGGGATTTGCCTGGATAATCAATCAACCTTTATTTAGACGGGTAAATCCCATTGAGCCTCGAGGACTCATTTACAAGAGAGACCTGATTTCAACAAAGAAAGATGACAACAGTGGACAACAGCAACAACAATAAACAATTATAAAAAGTCATACTACAGGTTTTTTTTTTTTTTTTTTTTTTTACAAATAGGATGGCTAAAAGGAAAAGGTAACAAAAAAAAAAAAAAAGCTAGATTCTAAGGCGAATGTAGAAAACTAAAAACAGGAACATGTCTGCGTTGGTCCCTGCCAGGAGTCCAACAGATTCTTAAAGCCACTTAGAGAGGTCAAGGTCGAGAGCTTCAAATCTTTTTGTAAGATATTCCAGGAAACAGGAGCGGAGTAGGAGAAGGCCCTTTTGCCAAGTTCAGTCCTCATTGAGGGAACACTGCAGGTAATA